ATTCCGCCGAGTTTTGCCGTTTCCCTTGGAACAAGGTAGCTTATTTGAGACTTTTGGACGGTATCTTTTTCGTTTCACGAGGCCAAGTCATCTTCTTGTTTCGCTTATGTTCCCCAACTCTGCCACCAGCAAAGTTTTCAACGACCCCTTCCTTGAAAAAAGTTGAGTGCAGCACTGGTCGCAATGAATGGTAGGGCTTGTCAAGGGGGGTTGGGTTGTGCACTTCGCCAACTCGTTTCTTTTCATGTGACAAGGTACAAGGTTGTTACATTGTTCGTATCACTCGTTTTCCACTAATTTTAGTAGCGCTTCAGCAACTGTCAAACAACAGCCTGGGAGCGTGCCAGACCCGTCATCCGCAGCGAACAAGCCTGTACGATATGTTTTGCTATAATCGGCCTCTAAAGTAAATTGGCAGATCATCTTCTAGCCACTGACGCGTTGCAGCATTGCCTCGTTGAACGATTTGGGTCTGGTGCGAATGACCACGTTTGCGAAGCCTCCATAGTCGTCCTCACCGTAGCTAAAAAACTAAACTTCACCGCTGTCTTCGAAAACCGTTTATGATTTCCGCACAGCTCGTAGTGGTATCTCTTAAGTTTCACATGTATTATACTACATACTTTAGGCACTGCAGTTTTCCTTTACTTCTCCCTTTTTCTGCCGTACCCCAACGAGGGGTTGATCCACGGCTAAATCTTTAGGTCTTACTCCGTGAGTAAACTAAAATCCGCAGTACCTTCGTATTTGACCTGATAGCTACAGTTAGTATCGGTTATGTGAATTGGATTTGGAGAACTGCAGATGCTTCCTTCACGAGACTGCTTGGTATTTTTCAACACTGATGGGTCATTGTACAGTATGATTGCGGACATGTTCACTACGACCACACTGTTGGCGATGTCTATTTATGTGTACGTTTCACTGCAGAAATTACTTAAGACTATGGAATGGCTTAGGCAGCGTTCAGACCTCGCGTCGACGCGCTATAATTACAACAGCGCTCCAAGGCTATAGGAACGAACGCAGCCGCAGACGGGAGTCGTTCGGCGCCACCCGCTCGTGTTTTGAGAGATTAAATGGGAACAGGAGGAAGCTATTAGTTTGGGAAAGTACCAAACTGTATTAGGGCAACGCTCGCCCTCCTGTTATCCAGTACTCTCTCAAACCATAAGCGGCCTACGCGGATCAGTCCCAGTCTGCGGCCACGTTCGTGTCCATAGGACTGCAGCGACTGGAGCGCTGTTGCAATGTGGCGCGTTGTTGCGCGTTATCGCGAAGTCTGAACGCTACCTAAACCTCAGTTCATCAATATTCTGCACTTAATTTATACCTTCAAAGCTCGTAACAAAACCATTTCAGCGTTACGTTCGTCGCAGTAGCTTAACTCCATATGGAAAGAGAAAATGCCATCTTCAAAAAGAAATTTGTTCTTTTTCAATCCTCCGATTATCTGTTTATTGTTTGAAAAAAAATTCCGATCCGCTGAAGGGAAATATTGCTCCATAGAATCGTATCATATTACACTTGGCAAGTGCCGCTCTTTACTTTTCTGTGATACCAATGTATATTGCTGAAGCTGTGGCGAGCTTGTTTATTTGGCAAATTATTCTTCAAACGTCTTTATTGTATATATTTTTGTCGTTGCTGTATGAATATGTGTGAATGATTTCATCTCTCTT